GTGGGCACATGCTCTTTCTCTCTCAAATAAATAAATAAAATCCAAAAAAATATGACAACCAGAATGTGAAATCAGAAATGTGAAATGTCCAAAAGAAGAAAAAAGTTAAATGCCAGGAATACAAAAGTGCTGACATATGGAAATATTCTTGTATGTAAGACTAAATGTCATGAATATGTCAATTCTCTTTAACTTCAAATGCCAATTTCATGTGAATTTAAATTTCAAGCAAAAATACTAATTAAAAAATTTGTTAGGGCAAGCTTATTTTGAAGTTCAAGTGAAAAAACTGAAAAAGCTGGAAAATTCTGGAAGCAAAGAATAATGAGAGACTGGCCCTACCATATATTAAACCATAGCCTTCAATATTTAAAGTAGTTTGGTATTAGGTTATAAATAGATAGATAAATGAATCAGAAAGTCCAACAATAAGAAACAAAGAAGTGCAATGAAGAGAAAAGAGTTACAACCATAAGAAGGGAAGGAAGGAAGGAAGGAAGGAAGGAAGGAAGGAAGGAAGGAAGGAGGGAGGGAGGAGGGAGGGAGGGAAGGAGGGGAGGGGAGGGAAAGAAAGTCCAGCAATAGAACACAGTGCATTAAAAATTGTATATAATTGGGCGCCTGGGTGGCTCAGTTGGTTAAGCCACTGCCTTCGGCTCAGGTCATGATCCTGGAGTCCTGGGATCGAGTCCCACATCGGGCTTCCTGCTCAGCAGGGAGTCTGCTTCTCCCTCTGACCCTCTTCCCTCTCGTGCTTTCTATCTCTCATTCTCTCTCTCTCTCAAATAAATAAATAAAATCTTAAAAAAAATTGTATATAATTAAGGGCGACTTCAAATCAGTAAGGAAGAATTCTTCATTAAGAGTTTTTGGTAGCAGGGCGCCTGGGTGGCTCAGTCCTTAAGCGTCTGCCTTCAGCTCAGGTCATGATCCCAGGGTCCTGGGATCAGGCCCCGCATCGGGCTCCCTGCTCCATGGGAGGCCTGTTTCTCCCTCTCCCACTCCCCCTGCTTGTGTTTTCTCCCTTGCTGTGTCTCTCTCTGTCAAGTAAATAAATAAAATTAAAAAAAAATTTTTTTTCAATAATAATTCTTTGTTGTAGTAAAAGGGGCTTTACAGACATATTAAATTACTGATCTTGAGACAAAAAGATTATCCTGGGTTACTCGAGTGAGTCCTAAAACTCCAGGGTCCTCATAAAAAGGAGACAGGAAGATCAGTCAGAAGAAGAGCTGTGATGAAGAAGAGGTCAGATCGATGGAGGAAGGGGCCATGAGCCAAGGAATACAGGCAGCCTCTAGAAGCTGGAAAAGGCAAAGAAACAGATTCTCCCCTGGATCCTCTAGAAGCAATACAGCCTTGGCAACAGCCTGATTTTAGCCCTGTAAGACTTATTTCAGACTTCTGACCTCCAGAACTGGAAGATAATAAATTTGTGTCATTTCAAGCCACTAAGTTTGTGATAATATAATAGCAATAAGAAACTAATACAGCACCAGTACATTACATAATAACTCTCAAAGCAGCATTGTGGTAAGAAATACGATACTGTTTCCTCTGCCCAGGGGTCATTTGCCCTTTCTGCCCCTCAACCTGCCCCCGGGGCCCAACAAGGTGTCACCACTTTTTCGGCCTCTCTCACAACTCCATGTGCCTTTCCTTTGATTTCAGCACCTCAATTTCCCTCCCTCTCAACCCTTCCCCCAGCTGCCCCCACTCATGTGCGCTCACTCTTTCTCTCTCAAATAAATAAATAAACTCCAAAAAAGGGTGACACTTAACCAGAATGTGGGGGGAGGGAGAGAGAGATTCTCTCAAGCACACTCCGTGCTGAGCGCAGAGCCAGACCCCGGGCTTGATCCCATGACCCGGAAACCATGACCTGAGCCAAAACCAAGAATTGGATGCTCAACCAACTGAGCCACCCAGACCTCCCAAGTGTCACATTGTTTTAGATGGCTATTATAAATAGGGTCTTTTACTCCACTGTATTTCCTAATTGGCTGCTTATATATATGAAAGATTTTAATTTGGGGGTATATAAACATTGTACATAGCTGCAGACAGACACTTAACCAACTGAGCAACCCAGGCACCTCTAAAGATTTTATTGTTAAGTAATCTCTACTCCCAACATGGCACTCACACACACAACCCTGAGATCAAGAGTCGCATGCTCCACTTACTGAGCCGGCCAGGCGCCCCTTGACTTATTCCTCTCACCACTTGAATATGGATCACCAACTACAACTCCCCATGTTGAACTCTATCAGGGAACATCACTGATCCAGATCATAGTCTCTGTGAGTTGCAGAGTACACAGCTCGGGCAGCTGGTATAACAAACCTATACGTTTTGCACTTTGCTTATCTATGATACTGGCTTCAGTTCCCTTTCTGCAGATTCTCCCAAAACTTTATGGGTAGCTTCTGCTTTGCACCGTTGGAGAATACGGTAGAGCAGCCTGCATTCCCCACCCACCTATCCTTGCAAGAGGCTCTACCTCTCAGTGCCCACAAGCATCGGTGGGGCAGACAATGGATATTTTCTTGGCACCACCAATGCACAAAATCAAGAAAAAAGAGTGCTCTTCGTAGATGGTCTCTATTGGTAATTAATTATTGTCTGGTTAGACACTATTGTCAGTTATCAAATGTACTGATGTCTAAATAATTTCTGGATTCAGTTAGAAGCAACTTGTAAGTTTCTTGTAATTCTAAAAGCTACAATTTAATATATATATGCATATATATTTTTTAAAGATTTTATTTATTTATTTGAGAGAAAGAGTGAGCACAAGCAGAGGGGAGGGGCAGAGGGAGAAGCAGACTCCCTGCTGGGCAGGGAGCCCAATGCAGGACTCCATCTTAGGACCCTGAGATCATCACCTGAGCCGAAGGCAGACACTTAACCGACTGAGCCACCCAGGCACCCCTACAATTTAATATATTTTTGTGAGCCAAGCTGGGTAGGCATATTATTTCATTCAATCCTCACAACTGTGTGGAGTAGACATTACTATCCTTATTTGTCTAAGAAGGTTCAAAGGGGTCCTGTGACTGCCTACCATCACATAGTTAATAACTAGTAGAAATGGAATTTAGACCAGGTCTATTAGCCTTCAAAGACCATGCTCCTTCTGGCTTTATAAACTGCCCCCCAGTACCACCTAGCACCATGCTGAATACAGGATAATAATAATTAAAACTGGGGTGCCTGGGTGGCTCATTCGTTAAGCGTCTGCCTTCGGCTTGGGTCATGGTCCCAGGGTCCTGGGATCGGGCCCCGCATCGGGCTCCCTGCTCCGCAGGCCTGCTTCTCCCTCTCCCACTCCCCCTGCTTGTGTTCCCTCTCTCGCTGTGTCTCTGTCAATAAATAAAATCTTAAAAAATAATAATAATAATTAAAACTATTTCAGGGGCTCCTGGGTGGCTCAGTTGGTTGAGTGAACAACTCCTGATTTTGGCTCCGGTCATGATCTCAGGGTCCTGAGAGGGAGCTCCAAGTCAGGCTGTGCTCAGTGCAGGGTCTGCTGAAGATTCTCAACTTCCCTTTACCCCTCACCCCTCGCTCAGGCTTTCTCTCTCTCTAAAAAAAAAAAAAAAAAAAAAAAAAAACCCAAACTATTTCAATGTACAGTTTTTTAAAAATCTTAAACTATACATAATTCCACTTGCCAATCAATAATAACCCTGAGGGGGCGCCTGGGTGACTGAGTCGGCTAAGTGTCTGACTCTTGATTTTGGCTCACCTCATTAGCTCCGGCGGTGAGATTGAGCCCTGCGCCTGGCTCCCCACTGACGCCAGAGTCGGCTTGAGATTCTCTCCCTCTCCCTCTCCCCACCGCCCCTCAAAGAAAGAAAGAAAGAATCCTGAGAGGTAGGTAGTACTGTTATCCTTAGATACAAAAGCTGAGTAACAGAAAATAAAATGTTTCCTGAATCATTTAGATACAAAGAAGAGCCAGGAACCAAACGCAAGTCTTCTCTAGGTACTTCATTCTCTGAGCCATGCTCCGCCTCCCCTAAGTGTTTGCTACAGAACATGTGAACTGGAGGCTGAAGGGTTAAGGACAGTGCCCTTTTCCTTTTGCCTTTTTTTAAAAGATTTTATTTATTTACTTGAGAGAGGGAATGAGATAGAGCATGAGAGGGGGGAGGGTCAGAGGGAGAAGCAGACTCCCCGCTGAGCAGGGAGCCCGATGCGGGACTCGATCCCGGGACTCAAGGATCATGACCTGGGCCGAAGGCAGTCGCTTAACCAACTGAGCCATCCAGGCGCCCTCCTTTTCCCTTTAATAGCCTGCAGCCTCCAGGGTACTGAAGTATTTGTTCATTTATGCAATATTTACTGAGCACCTAGTATGTGCCGGGCGCTGAATAGACAACAGTAAACAAAGCTGTCCCAGTTCCTGAACTCACAGAGCTTGCATTCTGGTGGAAGACACAAATAATTTCAGACAATAAGTGCTACCGGACGATATGGTAGGAAATATGGGGCAGGTAAATTTAAATAGAGGTCAGAGAAGCCATTTCTGAGAAGGTGACATTTATTCAATGAATGAAGAGCAACCCCCTAATGAGTTCATTGTTCGATATCAGACTTAACTAGTTTTTTGTTGGCCATTAGGTTGTTTATGGTTCCGAAAACCCTAGTACCTTATGTTGCAAATGCCCAAAGGGCAAATGGTAGAGGCAAAGCAGAACGAAGAACTCTCTTCAATTCTTTTATTCCTCTGACCTTGCCTTTGCTGTCAGGGTCACAACCCCCCATTGCCACGCCCATTCTTCTCCCTCGGACGCTCCCGGCCTGCGCAAGCGCAAGAGAAACTGCCATTCCTAGTGGAGGGCGCGGATCCCACTATAGAACGCATGCGCCCCTGGCCCGTAAGCCCCGCCCCGACACTTGCGCTGGCTCGCGAGCGCCTGCCGTTTCTCGGGGCGGGGCGGTGGGCGGGGACTGGGCGAGGAGGCGCGCGCCGGTGCGTGCGTGCGCGCGCGCCGCGGGCGGGCCAGTGAAGCCGGCGGCGCTGGCACGTGATCCGGGAGCGGCTTGGTCGCTCGGTGGCTCGGTCTGTCTGTCCGTCCGCGGGTGCCATCATGGCGGACGCGGCCAGTCAGGTGCTCCTGGGCTCCGGCCTCACCATCCTGTCCCAGCCGCTCATGTACGTGAAGGTGCTCATCCAGGTATGAGTCGTCGCCATCCCTTTCCCCGCCCGGCGCCTTGTTCAGTCGCCGCTGCCTTCGGCGCTTGGCGATCGGCTCCAGCCTTCCCGGGCCTTCAGTCCCCTGAGATGCTGCTCCTTTCCTGCTGCCCCTTCCTTCCCCTTAGGGACAGCTTCCACTGTCCGCGGCTCTTATTCCACTGCCCGTGGGCCTTGCCCAGGGCTCGCCCCCCTGCCAAGCGGGGAGGCCCGATCCTTCCCCGTAGTCAACTGCCGTCCTGCCCTTCCCGTTCTGGTGGCTCCTCTGAACTTTGTTTTTTCTTCCCGGAGGTTGATTCTGGCCAGTTGCCACCACGAGCTTCCCAACCCTCCCCTCCTGCCCCTCTGCAATCAGCAGTCACCTCCTCCGCCGCCCCAAATGCAGGACAGAAAATGTGTTAAAAGACAAATTTGAAATTCGAAGGGACCAACACTTTATTAGCTTTTTTTTCTTTCATTTTTATTTGCAGCGGTTACTGCTGCTATTCTGTTCCGAGATTTTAGTACCAGATACCCAGGTAAACACAAGGAGCTCATTCAGAAGTGATAATGAAGTGGTTGCTGATTCAAATTTCGGAAGGATTCACTCACTGAGCGCTCTCCCAGCAGCGGCCCATGTGGCTCATGACCCTGAAAATCACATCTGTCTGAGCTGGAAATAGTTCAGATGAAAGAGTTCAAGCATTTAACGTTAGTTTCTCATCTACTGTGAAATAATCCTTAAATGGTATTTTATATTCACAGGCAAGTAAGCCAGGTTTTAACTGATGATACACTATTCGATAGTATTTTCAGTTGCCTTTCTAGAATTCCCTGTGATGGGCATGTCATTCATTTTTTTTAAACCTTTGTTGAGAGTTGACATAATTACGTTATGCATAGTACCAAAGAAGGAGCAGTTGTCAGAACCCCTGTCCTCTCCTGTCCCACCTTTCTGTCCAAAATAGGCAAGACAGGGGCGCCTGCGTGGCTCAGTCGTTAAGCGTCTGCCTTCGGCTCGGGTCATGGACTCGGGGTCCCGGGATCGAGCCTCGCATCGGGCTCCCTGCTCGGCGGGAAGCCTGCTTCTCCCTCTCCCACGCCCCCTGCTTGTGTTCCCTCTCTCGCTGTGTCTCTCCCTGTCAAATAAATAAATAAAATCTTTAAAAAAAAAATACGCAAGACACTAGGGAAAGCCACAGTTCTTATTCTTGAGTTGATGCTTCTCCAGAATGTGTGTTGCTTGGTTGACCTATTGGATTCAGATTCCATATGTAAAAGGCTACTATAAAAGAAGTTATTTTAGGGCGCCTGGGTGGCTCAGTTGGTTAAGCGACTGCCTTCGGCTCAGGTCATGATCCCGGAGTCCCGGGATCGAGTCCCACGTCGGGCTTCCTGCTCGGCGAGGAGCCTGCTTCTCCCTCTGACCCTCTCCCCTCTCATGTGCTCTCTCTCATTCTCGCTCTCTCAAATAAATAAATCTTTAAAAAAAAAAAGAAAAATTATTTTAACTAAGAACAAAGACTTTGAAATGTGCTGTGACATCTAAAACAGAATTGGCACATTTGTAGCTAGATTGTCTAGAGGTGACGTTTCACAGTAAATCTGATCTGAGCCCATTACTCAGAACTTCTTTAGGAGGCAAGGGTTTTCTAGTGACATTTAGAGCTCTTGCCTCAAAAATTCAAATATCCTTAACCCTGTTGCCAAGTGTCTTAAGGATTTTTGTGTAATTTCAAAATACTCAGTTTTAAAAATAGTGGTATGGTAACATTTTCAAGGAGCTCAGTCAGGAGTTATTTAATTGAACAGGTTAAGAATCATGGCAATAGAGGCGCCTGGGTGGCTCAGTCGTTGGGCGTCTGCCTTCGGCTCAGGTCATGATCCCAGGGTCCTGGGATCGAGCCCCGCATCGGGCTCCCTCCTCCGTGGGAGGCCTGCTTCTCCCTCTCCCACTCCCCCTGTTCCCTCTCTCGCTGTGTCTCTCTGTCTCTGTCAAATAAATAAATAAAATCTTTAAAAAATAAAAAATAAAAAAAAAGAATCGGCAATAGAGGGTCAAAACCAAGTTCTATGGCATTCATTCTCTCAAGTTTCCCTTTAGTACTAAAAATGCTGAATATAGTGTAAAAATAAAATGATAATCATTAACTCTAAAGTGGCCTTCATTAGATTGTTAATGACAATCTGCTTGTTTAACATGGATTTAGCTTATAATTATTTCCCACATGAACTACCCAGCTCTCTCTGCATTTGCCTTTTGAGTGTTTCATCTTCCTAGCCAAATACAAAGTTGATGGTGGCTTAGTCTTCTGTTTTGTCCAAATACAAAAAATGCGTTTGGGGCACCAGGCTGGCTCAGTGGGTATAAGCGTCTTTTGATCTCCCAGTTGTGAGTTCAAGCCCCACATTGGGCGTGGAGATTACTTTAAAAAAAAAAACACAATGTGTTAGAGGGGCACCTGGGTGGCTCAGTCAGTTGGGCGTCCCAGCTCTTGGTTTGGCTCAGTTTGTGATCTCAGTGAGATTGAGCCCTGCGTCGGGCTCCACGCTCAGCGCCAAATCTGCTTGAGATTCTCCCTCTGCCCCTGCCTCCCACCCCCCCCACCCCAGTGCATACACTCTCTCTCTTTAAGATAAACAAATCTTTTTTTTTTTAGGGACACCTGGGTGGCTCAGGCAGTTGAGTATCTGCCTTCGGGCTCAGGTCATGATCCCGGGGTTCTGGGATCGAGTCCCACATCGGGCTCCTTGCTCAGCGGGGAGCCTGCTTCTCCCTCTGCCTGCTATTCTCCCTGCTTGTGCTCTATCAAATAAATAAATAAAATCTTTTTTAAAAATCTTTTTTTTAAGGGCACCTGGGTGGCTCAGTTGGTTAAGCAACTGCCTTCGGCTCAGGTCATGATCCTGGAGTCCCGGGATCGAGTCCCACATCGGGCTCCCTGCTCGGCGGGGAGTCTCCTTCTCCCTCTGACCCTCTTCCCTCTCGTGCTCTCTATCTCTCATTCTCTCTCTCTCAAATAAATAAATAAAATCTTTAAAAAAAATCTTTTTTTAAAAAGTGTTAGATTTTCTTTAGAAAATATTTGTGATACTCCTTAGTAAACTGTAACTTGCCTAACACAAAAGTTGCCTTATTTTATTTTCAGTTTTATGTTAGTCTATCTCAGCTACATATTTTACTTCGTAGAGTTTGAACCAAAAGAAAGCTTGGAGTTTATTGAAACTAGTCTTATCAGTTGACACAATAAGAAACTGACAAGGATGATACTTCATTATTGCCTTGGAAAATATACACTGCATTTTCACTGGGGTTAAAAATTATAACCTTGCAACCAAGACATTTTGGGGAATATTGCTTAGTATTAATATAGTCTCTTGTTTTTAAAGGTGGGATATGAGCCTCTTCCTCCAACAATAGGACGAAATATTTTTGGGCGGCAAGTATGTCAGCTTCCTGGTCTCTTTTGTTATGGTAAGTGTTTTTGATTTATTTGGAATTTGGAGGACATTGAGGACGATGCTAGGTAGGCAGGAGTTATGGAAAGAAAAGATTTAGAAAGCCTGTTGACATGAAATTTCTGTGTAACCATTTCTTCCAGCTGGAATTTAAATCTCTGACTTGTGTTCTCAGCTCAGCACATTGCGAGCATCGATGGGAAGCGTGGGTTGTTCACAGGCTTAACTCCAAGACTGTGTTCAGGTGTCCTTGGAACTGTGGTCCATGGTAAAGTTTTACAGGTAAGAATATCAAGTTATCTTCCCAAAGATTTAGATTACCTTTTATGCAGTTTGTTCTACTGACCAAGAGCAATTTCAAAGATATATTTATGACCATGTCCTTTCTTCCTCTTGAAAACACTTACTTCAAATACCCATTCTTAATTCTTCCCTGGGATGCAAGGGGAATTTATATAAATGAGGTGATAGATTTTGATCTGTAAGCCTTCTTCCTCTGAACCAGTCATTCTGAGCAGAAACATTTGATCTCCTGTATAGCTCATTTTATTTCTTTAAAGGGGGAAAGAAGCTGATTGAAACACATATTTCTTTCTGGAGTTATTTTCCTCTTATTTCTAACATCACCCCTAGTAAAATGTTTTTGTTACAAACTTATTTTTTTATGTATTTATAAAAATACATACATTTACATAAAAAATATGTATTTATTTTTTAAAATATTTAATTTATTTATTTTTAAAGTAAGCTCCACTTCTAGCATGAACTCACAACCCTGAGATCACAAGTCACATGCTGTACAGACTGCACCAGCCAGGCACCCCAGAAACTTATTTTTTGAAAAAACAAGATGAACATAAAAGTCAGGATAGTGGTTATTTGTGGGGAGAGAGTGGGGAAAAGGGATCATGCATGGGGCTTGGGGGTAATGGAAATAATTTTCCTTGACCTGGATCATGACTATATGGATATTTGCCTTTTATTTATTTATTCCATTGTACATTTGTATTTTGTGCCCTGCTTCTGCAAATGTGTTATGTTATATAAATTTGGGGGCAGGGGGAACACCTTTTTTTTTTTTTTTTTTTTTTTAAGTTTTTTTTTTTTTTTTTTTTTTTTTCTAATAAGGGAAAAAAGAAAAAGGAAAAAAAAGACAGGGGGGGGG